TCTCTCGCGTGGCGGCGTCTGCGCATGTAAACACTGCCGAACAACTGAAGAAAGTGATGGATCCGTGTGCGGCTGTCACCTGGCGGCCGCGCGCAGTGATACGTACGGAGAGAAAATAGCGCCAAGCGATTATGAGATCTGACTTTTTTGGCGACGATGGTTTTGTGATGCAAATGTATCACTCTTTTGAACACATATTGCTTTGAGAAGAAAAACACTTTATTATACAGTCCCCACACAACTTGCCGAACTACTTTCCTCAGCACCAAAACGGGCCAGTATCTCGGCTCACCGGACGCTTTCGGGGGGTAAGTCGGTGTGGATGCACAACACTGATGACGGGGATGACATACAGATTTATGTCAAAAAATCCGAACTATCCCTTTAAGAGTTCCGGGCCAACTCATCACGGCAGACATCGGGGGGAATAGCACTCGTTTTTAATTGGGATATTCACATTGGGTTTCATTAGGAATTAGTTTTAGGGTTTTTATTTTTGTATTTGGGTTTTATATAGTTTATTTGGCTATGGGTATTTTATTGGAGGATTTTAACTTAGGTTATTTTACACCCCTTGGAGTTGTAATGGTTTTATCCAGTAGTATATAAGGCGCCTGATTAGACCATTCCATGTTCTGCTGCTGGAGAGACCTGCTGCTCCATATCCTCCCTGCACTTTTTGCATCACACTTTGTTTTCTGCACTGGCACTTTGGAATTTTGGAAAAAAAGAAATTTAAATAATTTGTGGACCACACTAAACCTGCCTCCATCATCTTTCCTGGGATTTCTCACTGCAATCCAGCCGCTCTACCCATCCTGGTCACAATGAGACAAAAGAAACCCCATAAATACCGAAAGGCCCAAGCGATAAAATAAACGGGGACCCCAGGGCGAGGCGGACCCAGGTCGCGTACCGTAACAAGCCTGCGATCCTATTGACTCAAACAGCGCAAAGGATCATGGTCCATGTAGTCTGTCTCATTTTTTTCGCTGACACGAGGTCGATCGTTCCTCTTCCGCTACACCTAGCAAGGTAAGGTGATTATATTTGTTCTTACACGAAAATATTATTATATATAATTTACAAATATCTTATAAGCACAATTCTAACATTGTATTCTATTACAGAATGGCAAATACTTCACCAACCAAACTTCCTGTGGTGAACACAGAGGAGGGTCGGTCATATAGGGCCGAAATCCAACTTTTGTGCGTAAGTAGGCCTACTGTGTATTACACGCTTATTTGAAATAAAGCATATGAATGCAAACACACACCCAATTTAAAACAACTACTAAAACAATGCAAACTTGTAACACATAGCAAAAACACAATGATCCATTACATAAACCCACTTTATTTTAATTATTCTGAATGTCAGTGTCATTGTTACATTGACAAAAATGACATTAAATATTCACCACTTATTTTCAAGTGCTCATATTCAAGAGTCTAAATATATATAACAATGTAATTATAACTGTCTTAACTTGCCAAGGCAATAATATTGAATCCTAAGCAAGTTTGTCCAACTTTGTACAAAACATATTGGCAATCATCTCATTTGTCCATATTGACCTAATCAAAGCCTTACCTTTTGATTCCTTTAGAAATCATTCATTTCTTGATTATAAATTCCTATTATTGTCAGACAGATATAATTTATTTATCCAGCTTGTCATCCTATATCTTTGCAACAGTTTTTTTTTTTTTTCCACTATCATTTTTTCTCTGAATTAAGGCTATACTCATGTTTACAATTTCTGTGATTTTAGTATCAAGCTCAGGACCCGCAGTGCTCCAGGGCGGAGCTGGCTGCCAGCCTGCACGCCTTTGGAGAAAAAGCTATGAGGTTGGCCAGGATGCACCATGCTGCTAAAAAACAAAATAATTACCTCACCCAACAGCTCGCTTCAGCCAATAAAAGAGTGGAGGAGCTGGAAGAAAAGCTGAAGCTTTATGAGGGGGATTGGGACGGGTCAGGTATGTATAATTATTACTTATTTACTGAAATATAAATGTTTACATCTTTCTTATCATTTTACATTACAAATAAATACAAATGTATTCTATCTCCAGACCCTCAAGAAAAAAACACTCCTGCACCTGAACTTGGACAGGATGAAGAACCCAAATGAAAAAAATATATATATAAAACATCTGTGTTCGGTTCATTGTTCATTTAATTGTTTGTTGTTGTTTTTTTTATTTGTGTTTTGTTGTTTTTTGTGTTCATGCAATAAATTATTTTGTTTCCATTGAACAATTGGATCCATTTTTAATTACACATATGCCAAATAATAACTATGTATTTTAAAGTCTTTAAAAAAGTGCACTCCTTCTGTTGGAAGGCCCATTACCTGCTTGTCTCTAAAGAGATGCTATTGCTTTTCTGGGAATATGCTACAGTATGACATGAAGCATTTCTGATCTTTCTAACTGGAGAGGAGACCCCTCTCCCAGTAAGACTGTATGTATTTAAAATGTGTGTTTTTCTTTATTTTTTAATAATTACACCCTCAGTTATATCAATGCTAAATAGACAAAGCAAGACAGAGACAAGCACCCTTTCCCCCTTCTAACCAGAACAGTTCAATAGTGCACCTTTAATATTCTACAACAAATGCCTTTGATTCATTCTTAGTGAATGTTTCAGATGACATCACAATATTCTACGGACCAATAATATTCAATACAGATTGAGCAGCTACAATAAATATACTGCTATAATTTCTGTTATATAGCATGTTGTAGGGTCTAGTGCCTTTAAGAACCCCTTTATTAACCCTTTATTAGCATGAAATGTCATTTTAGAATCTGAAAACCACCAATTTATACCAAAAAACACACCTTCTTGTCAGGACACTCATCTGGAAATTTCTCCTTGTAAGGCTTTCCAGTGTGTTCTGAAACCTTCCAGTTCTGCTTACGCACAGAATGCCGAGAACCAGTGCCATAGCCTAAAAAGAAATTACTATGAGACAAGCTCGTAGAGGCGGGTAAAAATGTGTAGAATAAGAAATGTAAACATACAAACAGTAGGTTCAGGGCTGGGGGAGCGACGGAGGGCAGCGGCCAAGAGCTGCTCCTGTCATCGCTGCTGAGCAGCCAAAGAGCGCTTGTATCCCTTTGCCGAGGCATCTGAAAACACACATGAAATGTTAAAAGCAACAATCACTGGTGTAAACATTAGTCACAAGAAAGGAGTAAGACTAACGTATTACAACCTTTAACTATACAACTTAACCATATAACTTAACCAGAACTAAGTCAAGAATCGACCAAAATACTTACACTTACAATAAAGCAGGAGTAAATGAGAGCCAAGAAGCCGGGACTAGAATTAACAAATAATTAGGACTAAATCAAAACTAAACTACGACTAGAACAAGGACCAGAACTAGATCAAAACTACAATGTGACTTTATACCATGTTTTACTAACATCAGGACTAGAACCACAACTAGAAGACCAGGACTGAACTACATGCATAAAAGATGCAAGTCAAAATAAGATTACACTTTGCACAACACATACACAAACATAAACCACAACTAAACTAGGACTAAGTAGATTCAAACCAGGACTAAACTATGAGTAAATCTAAACCAGGAATAAACAAAGAACAGGCCTAAATCAGGAACACAATATATCACAGTACATTACTTCACTTATTGCCATTTACTTTTTTAAAAAAAAATTTGTATAAACATATTTTATTAGAAAACAGAGCACCTTTAAATCCACAAAAAATATGTGGTAAGTGTGAAACTAAACCATGACCAAACTAGGACCTTTTGGACACGTTTTTATTGATTACTTATTAATTAATATAGTAATAAATATAATTATATATATATATCTTCACTTATTAACTCCAAACAAATGTGCATGCAAATCAACTAAAGTGCACAGCTGATACTCAACTGGACTGACACTTAAGTTTCACTTTTTCTTTAGCCTTTATCCACAAAGGAAGACAAAGATTATAGCCAGTGCACTCCTCAATGGATATATTTTCTACATAATATTTATTTATGAATTACGCTTTTACCAGGACCAACAAGAAGATGTTGATGGTCCTGGGCCAGTCCTGGGGCCTCATTTATAAAGCTTGCTTACGCAAAAATCCTTGCGTACGCGCTCTCTACGCCAACAGCGGTATTTATGAACCTCAGCTAAGCTAACGTGGCTCTTTGCTTAACTCTTCGCCAACTCGGGACCTCCTGTAAGCTCTACGCAAAGTCTGGAGACACGGGGAAAAGCGACACTCATGGAGAGGAGCAGAAGTGAACAGAGTTTGAGGAAGAGTTTGNCTCCCTCCAGTGTACACAGACACAATCAAGCCAACACAGTGAAACCAAGACTATGCTACATATGAAAGACACAACATTTATGGCAGGGAATTATTGAGCACACTGATAGCTGTTGGAAAAAAACTATTTTTGGTCTTGCAATGCGTGTTTTTATCGACCTGTACCGCCTTCCTGAGGGTAACAGCAGGTGAACAGGGTGGGACTGGTCTGAGACTTTTGCGTTTGCTCTGCTCAGGTAAAATGAAGTGGAAGTGTCTTTCAGTGGGGTCAGGTGGTTTCCAGTTTTAACAACTATCTGCAGCTCTCTTTGTCCGCAGCTGAGCAGTCTTCAAACCAAACTGAGATAGATTCAACTGACAGTTTGTAAAATTAAATCATCAGACTCCTCCATGTTGTTTCTCTTAAATACTCAGAGGAAGTAAAGCTGCTGTTGAGACATTTTTTTAACAAAGGTGACCAGGAGAGGTCCTCACTCTAATGGTCAATAAGGTATTTGAAATCTTTCACTCATTCCAAACATACGCCATTAATGTAGAGTGGAACCAGATTTGAGGCACACTACTTTCGGAAATCCAAAATGATCTCTTTGGTCTTGGTGTAATTTAAGACCAGACGGTTGGCTGAACACCGTTCTGACAGCCTTTAAATATCATCTCTATAAGCTTATTCACCCTCATTGATGATGAATCCAGTGACCACTGTGTCTGCGAATTCTATGAATGTGTTGGTGGGATGGGTGGAGGTACAGTTGTGTGTATATAGTGTGTAAAGGATTGGACTCAACACACACCCCTGAGGTGCCCCAGTGTGCAGCATGATGATGTTGGAAGTGTGGGGGCCAAGCTTGATGAACTGGGACCTGTTTGAAAGAAAATTCTAAATCCAGGTAGAGATGGAGGGAGAAAGCCCAGTTGGAGCATTTTTCTTGTCAGCATTGCTGGCATGATTGTATTAAAGACTGAACTAAAATCTATGAAGAGCATCCTCACAGCTTTGCTGCTGGTCTAGATGACTTGACATGATGCAGAACCAGTTTTTCAAAGCACTTCATCACTGCAGGCGTAAATGCCAATGGTCTGTAGTTGTTGATCAGTCGAGGTTGGCTGTTTGGGAATAGGAATAATGGCGGCTGTTTTCAAGGAGGAAGGGATGCTAGCCTGTAACAGATATACTGATATGCAAATTAGCCATGTGCATCTGTAACGAGGTGTTAGGAGAACAGAATTAAGACAGGCTAGAGTATGAAAACTAAGAGCCACTGACTGACTAATCCTCATAGTCCCTTGTTTTGTCTCAGGGCTATTTCAAAGACCACATGCATATTATATGTAAATTATCTGCAGCAGTTTATCTGGTTTTGCCATGATCTAAACATAAGGCAAGCGAAGGCTACTGTGCCCTTTGTCCACATGACTTCCATGCACAAAGTAAACATGTTCCAGAGTGAAGTTTATTACACACAGATGGGAAGCTGGATCGGACAGTTGATATTTCACACACCAGAGTTAGTCTTGATGTTTAAATGTGGGTCCTGTCAAGCAGAAGTAAACAGCAAGGCCAAAAATTCAAGTTAATGCATCTGATATAAAAATTTATTCAACAGATACATATGTACTCTAGTTTATGAAACTGTTGACCTTTTATCTGTACCATTTTTGGTTCTAAAGTTACATGTACAATTTTTTTTTAGGCCTTGAGCAAAAATGATTTCCCAAATTTCAAAGACCTACAAATAAATTCAGGTTAAATTTCAAGCTTCATCTTTGACTAATCTATTCGATCTTTGAACTGTTGATGAAGGTACATGATTTTTCCCCCAAAATTATTTAAAATGATAAAAATTTGCTTGGAAGGACTGATATATTTTACAGAAATATTTACCTTTCATTTTGAAGTAATATTAAAGTTTTCAGAAGCAATTTTCCCTCCGTTACTTTTCCCTCCATTACATGACCTTTCTTAATAAAAAATCTCATTACTTAAAAAAGTAAGAGGTTTTTCAACCTAATCTTGTACCATATGATAGAAAACTATATGAAGCAAATATTCAAACCAGTTTGTTAGGGATATGTAAGTGAGAACCAATAGTTATCGCTGTTTGTATTTGTTGCCCAAAAAGTGCTGCATATTTCATTCCCTCCGTTAATGACATGAGTTTTTTATTTTTTGTCAACAACTTGAAAGAATATTGCAGGGTTAACTTGACCCTGTTGGAGTGTAACTCTTTCCTACATTCTGATACTTTACTTATTTCAATAGTCCCTCTAGTTTCTGAATAAGAGACATTTGAATGTAAAAAATCTGCCTGTTACCGCTTGACCCGGACCCATGTATCAGAAAATGAGAGAAATAACTGCCTGAACATAATAGAATAATGTGACTGTTGTACATTTTAAAATAAGTAAGCTATTCATTTTACCCAAATCATTTTCTAAATGACTGGGTTTGTGTATGTATATGGACGAAATAAAAAATGTAATGTACCTGCAAAAGCATAAAACTATATTTTTATTTGGTCTGTGTTCGGTCTGAACGCAGCTTCAGAGTGTTTCTAACCTGCATGTGTGTTCACAGGGGGCCATGGTGTTGATGAACAGTCTGTGTAATAAAGTGATCCGGCCCATTGATGGTTCCTGCTGCCAGAACACGCCCCCGCTCACTTTTCTGCAGAAGATGTTGCTGTGTGTGTTTGTAGTCACGACTCTAGTTTTTCTGCTGTTGAACTTTCTGAGGAAATTACCCCATCAGCGACCCATGGTCCCTGACCTGGAGAGTTTAGAGGAGAAGAAGCCAGGGGCCGAGGCAGTGTGTGGGGCCCTGTGCAGAATGGGACTCATCATGGTCTACTTCTACCTGTGTGACAGAGCAGATGTGTTTATGAAGGAACAGAAATCCTACAGTCACTCTGCCTTCTTCGTCCCTTTGATCATTGTCTTTGTGCTGGGATTGTTCTGCAGTGAGAGCACCAAAGAGGTGAGCACAGGCCTGTGTCCTTCTACACATGGAGCTGCTTTTCTCTGAACTTTGTGCACACCACCCTGGTTCCTCTGACACAATTTGACACTGTGTGTGCTGTGTCCCAGAGCCGTGTGCTGAACAGGGAGCAGACAGATGAGTGGAAGGGCTGGATGCAGTTGGTCATTCTCATCTATCATATTTCAGGAGCCAGTGCTGTAAATCCTGTTTCCTTCTGTATTCTCTGTGTAGTCTCAAAGCAAAAGCTGATTCTTCTTGTGTGTCTCAGTTCATTCCAGTTTACATGCATGTGCGTGTGCTGGTGGCAGCCTATCTCTTCCAAACAGGTTATGGACACTTCTCCTTCTTCTGGCTCAAAGGGGACTTTGGCCTGTACAGAGTGTGCCAGGTGAGTGCAGCTCTACATCCTCCATGCTTTGTGCTCCTACAGCACCAGCATGACTGTGCTTGTGCTGCAGGTGCTATTCCGCCTCAACTTCCTGGTGCTGGTGTTGTGTGCGGTGATGGACAGGCCGTACCAGTTCTATTACTTCGTTCCTCTGGTGACGTTCTGGTTTATGATCATCTACATTGTTCTGGCCATGTGGCCTCAGATTGTGCAGAAGAAAGTCAGCAGTAGGGTACAACTTTAATGTTGCAAATGTGCCCGTGGTTCTCCCTCACATGTGTTCTTCTCTCTGACAGTCAGTGCCCTGTGGTACTTGGGAATCCTGCTCAAGTTAGTGGGCCTCGTGCTGCTCATTTGCCTCTTTGCCTATTCACAGGTAACAGCACAGTCCCTCCAGAGGCACATGTCCTCAACACTGTTGGAAAGCTGTTGAATGACACATGTTTGTTCAAATGTGCAGGGCGTGTTTGAGATCACTTTCACATCGTGGCCACTTTCGAAGTTGTTTGAACTCAATGGCAACATCCAGGAGTGGTGGTTCCGCTGGAGACTGGATCGGTTTGTAAGTGCATTGGTGCTGTAGCTCCACAACTGCTCTGTTCCACTGGATGTGGATGTGAATGTCCATGTGTTTGCAGGCCGTGGTACATGGGATGGTGTTTGCTTTCCTCTATCTGCTCCTTCAGAAGAAACAGGTGCTGTCGGAGACCAGAGGAGAAGCTCTGTTCTCAGCTAAAGTCTCCCTGCCCCTGCTGCTCCTGTCTGGACTCTGTTTCATTGTAAGTGTTGGACTCTTGCTGTAGTTCATGCTGGATGAAGACCTGACACACACTAGTGCTTGCTCAGAGCAAAGTGAAGGCTTCCTAACATCTTGTGTCCTCTTTACTTTAGACATACTCAGTCTGGGCCAGCAACTGCCAAACCAAAGAGCAGTGCAACGAGATTCACCCCTACATGTCTGTGCTTCCGGTAGGTGATGTTAGCCTCCAAACAGAGTAGAGATGATATTACTGATTTCATCTTTATTTGTCCTCTGAGGTCACTGTAGTTGTCATATTGCACACATTCATTTGAATAAAGTCAATAGGGTAAAGTTAGTATTAACCTCTCTGTGATGCTCCTGTGCCTTCTCAGATTCTGGCCTTCATCCTCATCAGGAACATTCCTGGCTTTGCTCGCTCTGTCTACAGCTCCTTTTTTGCCTGGTTTGGGCAAATCTCTTTGGAGGTAAGATCCAGGGTGTCAAATCTGTTCCTAGAAGAATAAAACTAACCCCAAAATGTGCTGTGTGCCCAGCTGTTCATCTGTCAGTACCACATCTTTCTGGCAGCAGACACCAAGGGCATCTTAGTGCTCATCCCGAGAAACCCGTCCCTCAACATCCTGGTCAGTAGCTTCATCTTTGTGTGTGTGGCTCATGAGATCTCCCTCATCACCAAACTCCTGGTCCAACTGTTCTGAAATAGGCTGGGGGCTTCTTCAGTTTTATTTCATTGATAAAGTATAAAAATTAAACCATATGTTCAGTACCTGCACAGGGACTGCAGATACAAAGTAGCTTGTAGCTAAATCTGGCCCAGTGCAGCTTTTCTTTTTGAAATTAATGTTTTCTATGTGCTGTTGTTGTTTTAAATACAAAGTAAAAGGAATGAATAAAAATGAGCAGAAAGATGTTATCTGCCCCCTTTTACAAACAATATTTTAACACTGATGGTTACTTTAAAGGACCCATATTACTCTATTTTCTGATCTACGTAATAATGTTTCCTCATCACAATCAGACCTGGAGTTGTGTTTTGTTTCATTCACACGTTTAACACACAAACCTGCATATTTATGCTGCGTTCTTCTCTCAAACTCAAAACAATCTGTTCCACCTTGTGATGTCCTCCTACAGGATGTGACCCATTGTGTCTTTTAACTCCACACACCTTCACTAGAATCACTTTCAGCCCTGGGTAAAGATAAAAGGAGCTGTTAACTTGAAAACTACCACTATATGACATCACAAGGTGGAACAGAGCATTCTGAGCTTTGGAGATGTACACGGACTGATAATAAATTGTGACTCAAACATGTGTGTGAATGAAACAAAACACAACTCCAGGTCTGTTTTTGTTATGAGGTAACAACATTCTAACATGACTTAAAGCTCATTAGAATTAAGTTTGTAATATTGAAAACATTTCAAATCAATACATTTAATTTCGATCACAAATATTTATCAATTGCAAACAGATATCTTCATTTTTATGATTGACAACTTATTTTTATCTTTTCATACCATTGTACTGGTTTTATGTATGTATTAAATGCCATTATTGCACTTGATCCTTGGATTTCTTTGTCCAGTCCATCTAGCCGTGATCTAACACACTCCAGTCCATCTGTGCACAGGGAAATATGGGCTGAGTGTTTCCCTCCCACAGAGGAGATGTGCCAATTCTTATTGTCATGTGACCACTGAAAGCCTTTCTATCGACGTAAGCATTCAAAAAACCAGTCAGACGCCTTTGGAATTCTGTGTACACAAAAGTAACAGACAACATCTAATAAGATATGCTGTTTACGCCCTGAAACGAGGTGTTTTTTTGTTTGCTTATATATGTGTTAATTAGCAGACTAAAATGTGTCACAGACTAGAGCAGAAAGAGCACAAACTGATTCATTTCAAACTAAAAAATGAAATCTACTGGTGATTAAATTAAAGTTTTATCACATTTAATGACCTTAAATAGACAAAAAACTAAGGTAACAACTGGTAGAAAGTGTAAATAAGTCATTTATAAAGCAAAGGTAAACTGAGGGACATGTTTCTGTCACTTAAAAAAACACACAGCCAGAGTCTGCCCCATTCTCTCTCTGGCCAACACCAAGACGCTGATGCATGCATTTATCACCAGTCGAATAGACTACTGTAATGCCCTGCTCTCTGGTCTTCCCAAGAAGAGTATTTCAGGTTTACAATTACTACAAAAGTCTGCCGCACGTGTCCTGACGAGGACCAGAGGGCGGGACCACATTACACCGGTTTTAAAATCACTGCATTGGCTCCCTGTGAGTTTCAGGATCGATTTTTAAAGTTCTTTTACTGGTCTTTAAATGTCTTAATGGTCTTGGGCCTTCTTATCTTTCAAACCTGCTTTTACCCTACAAACCCTCGCGGACCCTGCGCTCCTCCGGCAGCAGGCTCCTGGTCATTCCCAAAGTCAGGACGCACTCACGGAGACGCGTCTTTTCAGTATTATGGCCCCGTCTATGGAACTGCAGCAGGAGGAGCTCAAGGCCAAAGAGAACGTTCATGTTTTTAAGAGTAGGCTCAAGACCCACCTTTTTAGCTTAGCTTTTGAATGAAATATCATATTTTTTTACTTGTTTCTACTATACACATTTTAATTATATTTATTTATTTTAGGCTTATTTTTAGGATCTGCAGTGTTTCCTCTGTAGGAGCCTCTGCATCAGGAGCAGAGATCGGCTGTAGCTGTCGGGTCTGTCCCGTGGGTTCCTGGTGGAGGGATTGGTGCCTGGGCTTCATCTCTCCCCTGGGCCCTGTGGTGGTTCCTGGTGGTGGTGGACGTCTCTCTGCTCCTGATGTAGACGGCTCCTCTGATGGTGCTTTCTCAACTGGTTCGCCTGTATTCAGCCTCACATTTTTACTATGTCGTTTTATGTATTTTAGCAGGTTACTGTGTGTGTGGGTGTGTATGTGTGTGTGTGTGGGGTGGGGGGGGGGGTGTTTGTGTGTTTGTGTGTTTGGGTGTCTGTGTTGTTTGGTTGTGTCGAGTCAGGCAGCTGTGGGGGTTGGGTTGGTGGGTGGGTGGAAATGTGGGATTGTTTTTAATCTGTGTAAAGCACTTTGTGTTACATTTTTGTATGAAAAGTGCTTTATAAATAAAGTTTTGATTGATTTTGATGTGGGACATTGTAGTAATTTAATTTTAGGATGTAGTTCACCATTTGAACACAAGAGGGAGACACACTACACTGTTTGGAGTGTCATGGTCAGAAAAGCTCACTGCCATATGACAAGACAAGATAGGTTTAGTCATCAGATCATTTACTGTTCATTTACACAATATGACATAACCATTTTTATGTCAGAAGAAGCTGAAAGACATGCAAAAAAATAAACTTGATGTAGGATAATACGATTAATAATAAATTTTATATATTAGGCACCTTTTTTGACACTCAAAGCTAAAGGTAAGTAATTAACGTTACTTCAAAATAATATTATTTGAGAAATTACTCTGGAATACATTAACTTCAAATTTTAAAACACGCTGAGGTCATACAGTTACTCTTACCTGAGAAGTAGTTTTCCCAAATACTTTTTTTACTCTTGAGTAATTTCTCAAATAATATTATTAAAATTATAGTAAAAGATCTGATGACTAAAACCTGTCTTGTCTTGTCATATGGCAGTGAGCTTTTCTGACCATGACCCTCCAAACAGTGTAGTGTGTCTCCCTCTTGTGTTCAAATGGTGAACTACATCACCGGCCGCCGGCTCCGGCTCCGGCCGCCGGCTCCGGCCGGATCAGCCGTGTGCTCTGAGCTGAGCTTGTTTCTTTAGTTCAGTGATGCAGGGGGAATCACTGATTTACCCAGATATCATTGGATGAAAAATTGTGATTGGTCCATTTCCATTCCATTATATTAGCCCTTTGTTTCCTAAGAAATATCAGTTCAAGTTTATAACAATGATGTAGAAATTATTACTAGTGTCGTGTTCATTACTCACTGCGTTAAAAAGGTAGAAAAAATATATTAGTAGTACAAAAGTCCATTCAGTATTTTTTCTTGAGCCTTCACTGAACACCTCGAAGACTCTGAGGGTTCAACTCTGAAAGAAATGCTGTTTGCACAACAAATGTTGGACTCTTTCATTTACATTTCCAATAAAAGTGCAGCTATACTCTACTTTTTAATTCATTAATTGGTTTTGCGTATAACATGTGATTAATAGCACTTGAACTCATGCGATTAATGAGATAAATTTTTAAAAATTTTTGCCCAGCCCTAAAATAAATGCAAAACTAAGTGACAATAATGACTCACCTTTTCATTTTATAATATTTCATAATATTTAGGCAGCACATCTTTGCAGTAAAGTCAATGTGTTTTTGTTTCGAAGGTTTTATGGCTATATTTTTAAGTCTGCCTATGATGTGTTGGGATATATATATATATATATATAATATATATATATATATATATATATATATTATATATATGGGTCTGACCTCTGTGAGTGTGCCGGGCTGGGGCGGGGCGGGCACCTTCTTGTCAAAGAGCAAGCTCTCATTTACAAGAACTCCCCATTACACAAAAATGTTCGGGAATATTTCAGGTTCGGACAGTGGCTTCGTGTCGTGTGCAGACTTGGGCCACTCTGGCGCTCGGTGCGTAAAGACTAAAATAAAAGTGTAAGTTGCGCGTTTAGTCCCAGTGCTTCATTACACCAAAAAAGCTCCTGTGCTCCGTCCCAGGGAAAAGTTTTAGTCTCAGGTCGGGTTATTATTTCGTCCTCTGTGTTGGTCACAGTCTGTGTTCTATAGAAGTCTATGGTCGCGGTGTGGACTGTGGGAGACTCTGCGCTACACCAGGAACATGGCTGCGCTCGTGCACGAGTTTCAAATGTATAATATTGTGGAGAATAATGAGTGGAATAAACAGCACTTCTCCCTGTTTTGGCGAACCAAACACTTAAAAGGCACAAATCTAAAGGCCATTCTTTTATATTTTCTGATGAATTCCTGATCAAACTCTTCCTCAAACTGTCTTCACTTCTAGCTTCTCTCCACGAGTGTCGCTTTTTCCCCGTGTCTCCAGACTTTGCGTTGTGCTTACAGGAGGCCCCGAATTGGCGTAGAGTTAAGCAAAGTGCCACGCTTTAGTTGAGTTTCATAAATACCGCGCGGTTGGCGTAGAGCGCGCGTAAGCATTTGTGCGTGAGCAAGCTTTATAAATGATAAATTCTCTGACCAGTCCAGTCTGTGGTCGAGCTAAACAAGTTTAACACATTTATTTTATGTTTAAAAATAATGTGATGCAAGTAAGCAATTTGCATTCTTTTACAATGAAACAAACTATGAAATTATAACATAAATAACAAAAAAATTGCCCAAAAAGGAGTGGGAAGAAGAAAACTTATTTAATCCTACGCCCTCTTCTAATTTAACATAATGATCTTTTCTTTTGCATTCTTCAGACATTTTACCTGAGACCATATGAACCAATTACACGTGAGGACAAAGATTCACTGTTCTATCTTGGTAACAACTATCATCATATTATAATAACACAAAAGGATACAACAATGAAAACAGACAGCAGATCCAAGTAATGTAATGGACAGCACAGGCCAGAAATGGTAGGGAAACAACAAGCATAAAACAGCACTACAGAAGCAAGTATTGTTCTAATTAGTGCTGTCATGCGATTAAAAAAATTGAGAGATGTAATTAATTAATCTAATTAATCTCATTTTAATCTCACCTAAAAATTGCTGAGAAAAGCCTTCAATTTGTGGTATTTTCATTTAAATTCATTATTACATTATTGTGGCAGATCAAAAGACTGATATAGAACAAAAAAAAAGTGACTTTATAAAGTCATTTATTGTTTAACAAATCTCTTCAAATTGACTGTTGAGCCCAAGTCTCCATGAATAAGAAACTGTTTGCTGTAAAGTAGCAAAGACGAGGAAATCTGAACATAATAACTTTTGTCTACTTAAAGACAATAAAAAGTCCAGTCTTTCCTTAACCATATTAAAAATATTATTGATAGAGAAATGCTTTATATATGAGATCACTGGTTTTAGTCCTTGTTTTAGTCCTGCTTTAGACCTGCTTTAGTCCTACTTTAGTCCTAGTTTAGTCCTGGAATGGATTAATCCTGGTTTTAGTCCTG